ATGGCGCCGTCTAATGACTACGTTGATTACTGGCAACTATTATCTATAATTTGAAATCACTTGTCTTGAGCCCGCAGTGCAGACTTTTACACGTACTATATTAATTGACGTTTACTATACCTTAGTTGACAATGCAGTCATTAACCGATTGCTCATTGCGATAGTTTGTTTATTTAAATTCAATTATTTGATACAAAATGATTATTTCAATTAGTCGTGGTGTGGCACGTTTTGGGGTATTGTATTTGCTTTTCAATATTCAAGGACTCCTCTTCCATTGAATCGTCGGCGTATATTTTTATGTGCACGATCGATGGTAGTATTAATACACCACTTATATCTACTTCAATACTTCCACAGAATAAAAAATGATTTATACCGGTAAAAACGAGAAAAACAATCCTCCAAAATTACAACCCACTTTTCAAGATTTATTTTCTATATGATCAATGTTGTTTACTGCTGTAATTTGTTTGTAATGTGCTTATAGACGAGTGTATGCCCTCTTATATAGTAAATATATTTTTTCGTTCCAATTACAAAAATAAACATACTTTAATAATTGGTCAGTATTTAACTTTACACTCGGCTACGCTTCGGTAAACACCTTTCACTTTCCACACAGCCTAATTAGACATGAACTATGGTAACCAAGCAACGAAATAACTAGAAGCTATTCTAAAGAAATAATTTACAACCGACGTTTCCTATTAATGAAACATTTGAATGTATACCATAATTGCATCATTAAAAAGAAGTATGTCATCATTTCATAAAGTGACAATATCTACAAAAAACGATTTGAGCATTGATGACCCAATACATTACCACTAAATGCCATAGTCCAAAAATCACAGCGTGTCAGTATTGTTGTGACACGAAGCAAAATAAACAGTCAGGTACACTCACAAATTATATTTCCCGCAAGAAAAGCCGTAGTGTTCGCACTACAAAACAAGATTTGTTGAATGGAAACGTCTTTACATGAAAGTAACGCACATAATTTTGATTTAATCAGTTCAATGATGCACATATAGAAAAAAAATGTCTTGCACATATTATTCTGTAAATTGGACATACTGTATTCAATTTGTATTATATTTGTCCACGAATTTGTTATGGACAGTTGTTCAAATAATGTCTTTCATTATTCACACATACATTTCCTGGAAGGTGGTTTAAATGACGTATTTGTGTGTGTATGAAATATACGAACCGAATACATGGATAACGATTATGAAAACACTCACACTCTTAATAGTAATGAAACTGAACTATAAAGGCGTTGGAAGCATTCTTAAAAATTTGAACAACAGCAATATGCCTCACACTCGAAAAATTTTCTGCTTGCCTCCGTCGTGCATTCAATGCAACGTTGTATTAGCTATCAACATATTTCCAAGAATTCTGTTTCTATTCTTTGTACACTCTATACACCAGTACGAACATCACTGGCTAGAACCAAGTTTATTGCCCAATAATCTGAATCAAGTTTCGAGCATGAATCAGAATTTAAGTGAGATTCCTAATTTATATACACTCATCTAATCAGTGTGTTTGTGTAAGCTACATTCAAATTGATGATGAACATGATTGCCGCTGTTATAGACAGATATTTCGTCAAAATTTGGTTGATATGTATATAGTATATCCCTTGACTATTTCTGAAAACATGGAGTACAAGTACTCTGCCCGCACGACGAATTAGGATGATAACATTTCAAATATAGAATGCAAATTAATATCAACAAGTTTGTATCTTATAAACGGTCGAAAGTGTAAGAGAAAGGTTTAGGTAAAGTTTTGAAATCGTCATAAGTCAGAGATGTTTTGCTATTCTGTCATATGTTAGAATAGTTTATAAATACACAGGGTGAATGGATAATCCTTCGCGGTGCACATGCTCGTAACATGATCCACCATTTTGTAACGGATTGCAACACATGAGATTCAGGAACATATGTTCGACCAGAAATTTAGTAGTAAGTGAGATGCTGATCAAAATGGATCGATTTCGCAATTCTTATAAAGAATACATGCCCAGCTATACAAACAAAAGAAACAGTGAGTTAAAATCTTTCAATTCCACATTCAGATTATGGATAATTATTCATCAACAATTCTAAATTTAGCAAATATTATCTCATACAATTAACTTTCAATTAAGGCAGCCATATTTATTGCTTCACGTCTACAATGGACAGTTTTCTACTACAGCATGTCCAGTCTATGAGTTTCAACTCGTTATGTAAAGGTATATGCTATATGTTTTTTTAAACCAACATTAAATTGTCCCGTTTTCTCAAATGACGACAAATACCATGAACGATAAGATGTCAGTGACAATCCGTCACACCATTTGTACATGGAAACAAACAGACATATATTACAGCCTGAAAGATGGGATTCGAACATTATATCACGGCAATCGTTTTGCATAAGGAGCAAATGCGTTACCTAGCACGGTATGTTATTACATTATAACCCAAATTTTAACTATGTTTGAATACTGTAAGGAATCAAAACTGATATGCCAACACCTAGAAGTGCATGAGAAATTATAGTAATTCAGACAGCAGCTACCCCAAAACCTTCTATTATAAAAGCCTTATGTTATTATTGCTGCATATATGGTCGAATGCCAATGTCAACGTTTCTAATTACTAGTTGGTTACTAGTTGTTACTAGTTTACCCCGGGTAAAGTATCCTACTGGATTAATGATTTGACTAAATAGTAGCATTCAACTTAATATTCCGTCTGCCTATGCAATATGCACGTCATCTGCGCATGAACAATTATCCCACGTGTATTCATTTTGAACCACACAAATCAATAGACACATGTTGGAAACAAGCTAAATTGTTAATTCCACCTTATCCTTTGCTGCTGATTGGAAGATGACGCACTTATTGTTAAGGCTTGAAATATATGTATGTATTTTGGGCAGATATAATGAGCTTGTAGTAAAATACTGTAACAGTAAAACTGATCTCGGATACATCATGCCATTTGTCTGATATCAGAAAGCACTTGATTAAAACTCATAATGATATATGGTAGGTTCCACATATGGATGTGCACTCTTTTCACTTCATCTATACAATGGAATCCATATATCGTTCTTTTACTGAATGATTATGTAGTGCAGTGTTCTTTGTTCATACGTCAAATTATATAATTTATAATGTCACGACAATGTGAGATATGACGTTATATTTCCATCATAGGAACCAATGGTAAAAACGTTTCTATACTGACAAAACAACCTTTGTTTTCTCGAAAAAATATGCTGTTGAGCCCTCACATTTTTAGACAATATCTTTTATTTACCGGGAGTTCAATTTAGTTTAGAATGAACGAATTCTAGATGCGTGTTTTTTGTGATCGTTTCTGTTATGTTAATCAATGACGACGCAACTAATATTGCATATTTTCTGCTCAAAGAGAAGTAATATTCCCTATAATCGGGCACATGGTGAACTAAAATTCTCTTTTGCATAATTATTTGAGGAGGTTTCTCGGCTAAGCGCCGGCCTGAAAAAAACAATTTCTGGAGTTACCGGAGCGCTAAGTCGGGCGATTACGGCACTTAACCGCATAATTCACGTGGAGATTATTTCACGTGACTAAGTAACTGTTGTATATACAGTTGAAGCCGCATCAGTGTAGCTTTTTTAATAATTGAAAAATGCCCATAATAATACCATTGTTGCAGCTTATATGATTTTGCTGTCGATTCGACACTTAAATACACGCATACAGAAAAGCTAAGGGAATTATATGACCGAAATATTATCCCTGTATGTAGGATTAAAAATGGTGAACAAAACATCGATATATCTGCCTGGCTCATTCATTCTTATCTCATTCATGGGATTAAAGTTACAATTATTCTTACAGATTCAACCTAATATGCTTACAGGCACAGAGGTACATGTGAAATGAGTGATACAGTAGCGTTCAATCACCGTATACTTAATTATTACCGTCGCGTGATTAGATATCGCTTTATGTGTTCCATCTGTACAAACATAAACTACAATTAGATTTATGTTGGTACACGATTGACAGTATTTATTGCAAATGTGATAGCATGAAAAAAATTGCGTTATTCACTTGTTGTTGAATAATGTTGATGTGTAACAAAAGCAATACATGTTGCGTGTTTAATGTATTTTGTACATGAGATACGTGATGTCGCGAGACCATTAGACAGATTGCATATTATATAAGCCTTAGGGTCAGTTGGTTCGCTCTGAAATGGAATACGTGGACATGCATTGAATTTTGTAAATACAACGGGAATTATGTCATGTTGACATGGTTACATATTGCGTATACACGAACTGCGTATTGTTTTCATGATGACAGGGCAACATTGAGAATACGTGTGGGTGGTGGTTGATACAGCGAGCAAAACGGAGTATTGTTATCACGCACCACAAAATTACACTAGCACCTTCTCTATAAGTGCATTTTCTAATGAGGAAGCTCTTCTTCAAAATAATGATTGATAATAATTGTTACAGATTTGCTATATTGTCGTTTTTACATTTATTAGACTTATCTGTAATAGTGATATTGCCATAATCATAGGTTGTTATATTGTGTTTTAAGGGTGACCATTATAGTTATATATATATGTAAATGGCGGCCGTTTTGCTGAATATATTGAAGTTAATACATCAATGCAAATCTGAAGATGGTGCGTTGGCCGATGATGCATATGATATAACATAACTAATTTACATAAACCTGTAACTATATCTTTTAGATGATCTTTTGAAAAGTCTTTTAAATTGACGAGAGGGAACCAGTAGGATTTGTATATATGTTCTACAGGAATATAATGGTGGAGCGAACACATTTGAATTTTTCAGAAAACATGATATTTCTTTGCAGTTTATAATTTAGGCTACAACTGCTGAAGTTTACATAACAAATGTTAGTAAAGAGATGTCTTTAATTCAATATTAAAAACACTAATAGTTGATAATAATGACTTTTTTGAAGGAAGAAAAAGAAGTAAAGAATGTTGATGAAATAATACACTTTGAACCTCTCACTTATAAAAACGGATCCGTAAGCCAGAACATGGCGGCAATCTGGAAAAGTAAGAGTACATATGTAAGCCTTAAAATTAGGTATCACCCATCATATCATCACATAGTGATGGAAAGTGATACTATTGCCGATTACCCAGAATTTAATGGTAAAGTAAAGAAGGGGAAAACAAACGAACCAGTAGGTGATGGACAGGGAAGGAGCAGAGACGATTATATGTACTAGCGAGATAGAAAGACGAGTTGCTACAGCCATGCTGCGAGAAGAGTATTTAGGGCAAGATGGAGAGACATTCTGGACCAGAGATTGCGCAGTGGTGGATCTACAACAAATCATTACATTTTATGATTTATAAGCTCGAAATATGCAGCGATGTAATTAATGACACAAAACTGTGTATTAAATATAGTAATAAATTGAGTAATATTCGGCTTGATTGTCATATCGCTCACTGCAATTGATTATGCATGAATAGCAAAGCTCAACTATTTATCTATTTTAATTCTACCATTTATTTCTCTGCTCTATGTTCCAGTATTTTGTAAAAAAAATATATTTCAAACGCTGCCGAAATACTCAACGCAGTAGTGCTAGTGGATTATTCCCTGGAGCGTTTAGTCCATTTTGTATCTGTTACAAAAATCATTGTGATCAGAAGCGATGTAAAAACATATGTAGTGTGTAGTGATTTTTAATAAACATATTATTGAATGAATATTATTAATAGTTGGCAATTAAACCACACATTATTTGCATTTAGATAATACCAAATAGTTGTAAATTGATTTATCTAGGCAATGTATGTATTCAGACATTTGCGTGGATTTGTATTCGCGTATATTCTTCAACAATAACAGGACTAGTATATTTAATCAACGCTGGGATTTTATATGCATGATTCATGGTACACGAATATCATAATTAGTGACAAATAATACCCTAGAGTGACATTAAATACGAAAAAACAGTTCTACCACAGTTATCCCTACTATGTAGACATTCATACTCGTGTCAGTAGTTGTATATACAATCACTAACACATTCAGATGCTAAATATGTCAAAATGCACGAAAAAATATGTTCTTTAATCCATTTACATCAATGGTTCTATTCTGCAATGCCTTCAGCCACTGAACATATCAAGGCTTATTCACAACGTATTCTGCGTCATACTCGAACTTTAACTTTTAAAATGAACAATAGTATTTTAGCGTAATTGTCACTTTCGTGTATAGAATCAAACGAGAGTCAATATAATCCGCTACAAGTTATAATGGGCTGTAAAATTTATAATTGATCAACGTCTTTTATCCGTGACAGAGGTGAGGCGCAGAGGTGACATCAGTACATTTTAAAAATGGTTGTTTTATAGCTAAACGACACAACGTCAAAGTACATCAAAGTATCGCGCTGTCATCAGTTTGGACAGTGTAGTTAGAAGCAGTGTGATGTCTGTGGTTAAAGTGGGTTTCTGATTTGGCGTGCGACTGTCACCCAGTTCGATTGGGACTTGATATAATTTAATAATCTCATCAAATTATGAATATGACATATAAAGAGATAAGGTGTTATATTTTAGTGCATGTCTTAATTGATACGAATTGCGTATTACATTCGCTAATATTTTAAATAAACTGATAAAAAATCTTTTTATTAATTCTCTCTATGCTTTTTCATCTTGTCTTCTTCTTCTCCAGTGACGTAGCGCCCCAAGCTACGTCAAAATGCCGTAAATGGGTGAAGACAATGCAGTTTGGTTTTACAGGTCTCATGCCACTGATCAAACAATCGCTGTTCGGAGCCAATTTAAATGCCTTGCAAGAACCAATGACATTTTCAATTTTTTTCCAGGTTAGCCATCTATTAGGGCGTGTAATACCTGGGTCAAAGGCGAGACTAACATGTGGTCTGTTATTTATTACTTAGCGGCTGTGTATCTCCGGGTTTATTCTGTGTGTATCTGGATGTTCTAATCTTGGTGTGTTTCCAGTGATTTCTCTAGGTGTAATCCAAATACAGTAGGTGTGTCTTGTTTGAGATTTTCAAGAGTTTGAGATGAACAACATATTATTTTTTTAAGCTTGTTTACTGGCATTTTGATTCCCCATTTTTGAACCATGTTTTCATCTTGTTTATCATTTTCATATAGAAATCTTATCATATGGTATCATTGTCGTCTATGGAGTTTCAATTAGTGGTGTGAGCCTTCAAGACATTTGTTTTCAATTGATAGACGACCACAGTTCAAAGTTCAATATATCTCGTTGTGAGCTCGAGCGGTGTTCCATACATTTACATCACAGAAAGGTTATTACGATGATACTTCAAAGTATGCACGAAGACAGTACAGCGGCAGTATCGACCGATGCGCAGCGGAGGTCGATGCGACAGCGTACTGTCTGAGTGCATATTTTGAGGTATCTTCGTAATAACCTTATTATTATACATCTTTTCCTTCCAAGGATACATCATGGGAATGCCGAAATCCAAAAAGTTTACAGCAGATCAGCGAACTTCTTTGTATGGAGACCGGCCAAACCCTGGTGGCAGCCATGTTTGTTTTTATTATTAGAGGAGGCTTACGCGCGTAATCATTCCATGTTTGGAATTCGCATTTCCTAATATGGTAGAATGAAAATACCCCGTAAAATACCGCAAAATTACGGCACGATGTAACTTATGGCGTTACGGTGACAGATGTATAAAAATAACTGTTAAGTGACGAGGGCGAGTACTTATATTATGTTATGTGATGTGATTATATTCCCCCAAACATTTACTACGTTCTAGCCCCTCTGTAAATTGTTTTCGACAGATTTTGAAACGAGCAGTTAAGAAACAAATACAGTATACTTTTTACGAAATTGTCCAAAACGGCAAGCCAACAAAACAATATTTTCGGAAAACCAATGTCAAATGGAACAAATCATCAGGAATGCTGGGTAATTTATGGGGCCGCGCTGTTCATTATAATCCAAATTGTATTTCATATTCTTGTCTTGCTATATGACAACAACCTTTTGAGAGGTTAGTGTCAATCTCAAATTACGTGTTTGATATCTTCCTTTATTTTATTAATGGATAATATAACCACAGGCTACGATGTTTTAGCTCCCGGTTGTCGTACAGATATTATAATCGGTTGATGTACATATACAGCTGTGGATATTTAACATTGCAATAACTCACCGTTCCCCTAGGGTATATCTTTGCAAAATGCAGTGGCTCCCATTATCCTGCCTCGACAATAAAGCAGATAGAAATAACAAGGCAGCAAAGAACTTTATTACTCTAATTTACAGGTATCGTGGGTCATGAAAGCTTGGGTCAATTATCTCTGTTTGGCAAAAACAAATATTATTTTTCGGTTAAATACTTTAATCTGCAAATATATGAATGTGTTCCTGAAATGGGTTTGCTTTGTATAGAGATTACAACTTCCGTTTCCACTCCTTATATAACAGCGCTACTATTCTTGTAATGATAGGAACACAACTGTTAATGACTGGCAATTATTATTTGCGTCTAGGTGATTGGATATTACCTTTATCATACGTTTCGATATTTGCTGTAGGCAATGCTCACCTAATTGGTATAAATAGTCAAATTAAAAAAAAAAAGCATTAGTCCATCCTTATTTCATATCATGTTAATAATTACAATACTATTTTGTTATTCTAGTTGTAATAATCGCTGCTTCCGGTGGTGCGGTCAGACAATTACTCATCAAGGCACAAGAACGTGGAATGACTAACGGCGACTACGCGTTTTTCAACATCTACCTCGTTTCCTACAAGTATTACGGTGAAAACACTTGGTATATGGATGATGAATACGATGATCTAGCGAGAGTGGCATACGAGGCACTAAA